AAATTGGTATTTCCTTATTGATTATATTGTAAAATTCATGGTTTTGTTTAGGACTGGTTTTATTACTACTTTTCTCATATGATAGTTCCTTATTCTTAAAGAAAAATTTATAAATTGGAGTAATTATCTTGATTACTGGTTTAATTACTGTATCACTTAAATCGGAGTTAAATATTTTCTGTTTAACTAATTATCACCAATCAAACAACTTTACCGATTGATATCAAATGCAATGAATTCACTGTGCTCTACCTCTTTACATATGATTGTATGTTTTAAAATATTTGTAAAGAGTTTGATTAATAAAACTAGAATATGTTTTTGTTTGTTTCTTGTTAAGAAGAGAGCTATACATTGGGTTTTCTTTACTCTACCCACCACAGGTGTCGAAACCCGTTTTTGCGTTATAAACCCTCAGACTTACAACTGAATCACATGAAGTTACCAGTTTCCTGCATTAATTTATTTGGAATTTTAATAGTTAAATATACTGACGAATTAGTTGAGTTTATTGAAGAAGTTATATTTATTGGCGAACTATTTTCTAATCCATGCGATACCACAAAATATTCCCTGTACTTTAACAGTGGTAGCATAGATAGTGGGTGGTAGGATGGTGCTAACAGGCTGTCTTCCTTTTGCCCTTAGGGAAGTCGGCAGACAGCTTTGTAGTGTTACTGTGAATATAAAATCCCAATACCAATATATATATGTTTTAAATAAAGATGTTATAAAAAAATGGATATTGACAACTGGACTAGGGAACAGGAAGTTTAATATACGTAATTAATTTGACTCATGAATTAACTCCAAAAAGCTTATAAATAACTCACGAAGTCAAATTTACCATTACTGACAAACAGAGAATACTAAATGTTTAGCGAAGCCCATCAGTTGCAAAAAATGTTAGAAAATCTTGCTACTCTTATTGACCCGATACTGAAATGTAACTATAAATTTTGGGTTCATGCAATAAACAGCTAGAGGTAGACATCTCTTATATTTCAAACAAATGAGAAAACGAGATATAACAAATAGGGATTATTTCACCCCCATAAAAATTATACCAACATTTTTGCAATGTATGTTTGGATTGAAATACTCTGTCATTTTTTAAGTATAACCCAAAAACGTTTAATGATTTAGAAACGATATTGTATTGGACCATCAGACTCCAACAAGATAACTGCACTTAAGTAATTAAAAAAAGGAAAATTATTCTGCAACACTTACCAAACTATTAATCAGTGAATAGTTCCCAAAGTGATGGGTGGTCTACTCTGTGTCTTTTCCTTTTGGAATTTGTATGTGGAAAGGTAGCTGGATAGGCTTACATAGAAGCACTGTTGGTTCTAGATTCCTTCTCGAAAGACATCCACTTTTATAGAGAGTTTCGTTGCTAGAAAGCGTCTAAGTAATGTTTGTTCTGAGTCTGCGCGTTTCTTATCTTCTTCCACAGAAAACTTCGAAACACAACAAGAAAGTCTTCGCTGTTTATGCTGCAAGACGTTACAGTTAATCCTCTTGTGCTTTGGTTGAGCACGATAATCTGTCCAGTAATCAATCGTTCTTGGTCTAATTTTAGTGCTGGTTGTTTAATGAAAGTTTTCAAAAGACTTGATTGATCTCTTTGAATACGGATTATCACTTCAGATGGCTGGTTTACTTTTAACTTTATTGCATTTAGGTGGTGTAAAGTATATTCTACTTACATGAAAGATTTTCCCCTGGAAAGAACAGATATTTCAGTATATGGATTTGTTACTATTGTAATCACGATGACTGATAAACAGAAAACTAACGAAATTTTTACGAAATGTGGAAATTCCAATTATCAATGTCTCGTTATAAAGATAGCAATAACTCGTTACTTAGGAAGCACGTAAAAAAATGTTTTCTATATTATGTTGATTTTAACTTTTACTGCAGAGGTGTTACAGACAGACCTATGTTACCACATGTTTAAACATGAAAAATCACCAGGAAAGAGTTGTTTTTCGAATAAACAAGTAACTCGAATTTGTTATGATTAAAATATACGTTCCCATCTAAGTTATTCCTACGAATTGCCCCACAGTGGCACAGCGGAATACCGGCGGACTTATAACGCTAGAAACCGGATTTCGATACCCGAGGTGGGCAGAGCACAGATAGCCCCTTGTATAGCTACTAATTATTTATATAAAATTACTCGCGTTAACATTTCAAATAGCTTTGAGTATAATTTAGCAAAATATTTATACGAATTAATAAATAAAGCTAAACACCCTGGCTTCAAAGGCGCGTTGAGAACCACGAGTTGTGTTCAACAAAAGTTCTCCTGATAAGTTGGTTTACTTTCAAGTTTTGCCTTAGATTACCATATTCCACCATACAGCTCCACAGTAGTGAAAGTATGATGGTAAGGTCCTGTACGGTGTAACAGTAAGAAATATTATGCCTGTCAGCCGTACCTAAAAATCATTTTGTCAAGGTCATTTTATGTTTTAATTCCATTCCAACCTAACAAATCTTCTCAAGTCAAACTAAAATATACTTTTTTCTTTTTTATTGACTATAATAGCTATCATTATCAAAATGTGTACCTTTGAATGTTGAAGCTACCGCTGTATAAATTAGAATTGATTTGTACAAAATGTGGGTTGTTGTTTGTTATTAAGCACAAAGCTACACAAAGGGCTATCTGTTCTATGCCCTCCACGGGTATCGAAACTCGGTTTCTAGCAGTATAAGTCCGAAGACATACCGCTGTGCCACTGGGAGGAGGGGCATTGTGGGAGGGAGAAGGGCAAACACTACTACCATACCGGTAAGAAATTAAAGTTACTTTTACCACTGTATCTCCACCCGTTATCAACAAGTAACATTATTATACTCCGTCACATAAGAAACAACTAAGACTAAGGGGATTGCCAAAACGTAAAATCATCAGATAATTAAATCTGAACACGGGTGTGTAGAAAATGTGCCGAAACAACAGTGAATTCTCGCAAAAGGGCATGTGAAACATGCACATAACTAACGACATGTTAAATTTTGAAACTACATTTAAATGTAATTTTCAAACTATTAAATAATGTCCCCCTTAAAGTTTTTGCTGAGCTGTATTTAACACTATACTACATATATACTGTCGCCTGAATTTCCAACTGCAGTAAGTTGTAGAACGTCTGTTCATGTTGCATAAAAATGATTAATATTACATTATGTCTGTTCTTATGAAGGAGAGTTTATAAAGTTTAAAATATCAATTTTAACATTAAAAACCTTAGCTAGCTGAAACTGTTTGTAATACTGTTTACATGAAGTTTCTTGGTTAGATAGATAAATATTAAATCTCTGATGTTTTTCCCATTTATATAGACGCTGTTGTTGAATTCAGTTTCAAACCTATAGGTAAAAACGACGTTAACTCAGAATTACTGGACTCAGTATTTTATATGCATAAAGTATTTTCATTCATAAAATATCATACATTTTTCATAATTATACTCGCCATTAGCGTCAAAATTTAGTAAATATATATATATAAAATAATGACAGAAATCGTAAAATTACGTCATTTCATCGTTTTATGGGATTTAATAATTAAGCCACTAACATAAAATTTCTTGAACATACAAGATAACTAAAATTACTTTGATGACTCTGCGTGTGACGTCTTATACGTAAGGATTATCAAAGGGATTCTGCTAGAGAAATGCAAACAGAAACCTCAGTGGTAAACAGTCCAAGTTAGGGCTAATGACTAATCACGTATCCAAGAACATCACTATCTTATCTCACGTTAACAGGCCTCTCCACGTGAGCTATTACTACATTGTTGGTCTAGACATCTACAGTACAGTTAAAACACATTTATAATGCTGTGATAAATGCCAATTGTTTAAGATGTCAAGCTGTTCTAGGTTAGCAGAAGTTAGATCGTGTTTTTGTTTTTTTGTGCATCTCCTGTTTCATATCGAATAGAAACTGTTAACACAACGTACAAATACTGATCATAATAATATAAAATGCCTATTCAGTTTTTTTCTCGAGAGAGAGAGAGAGATAAAAGCTCCTCAACAAAATATTGGTTATTAAAAAGAGTTTCAAGAAATATTTCTAAAAGGAGGGGGAAATCAGCTTTTAGTTTTGCTTGTTTTTATCTACATTTCTAATATTGGTAAACTGATGTCAATCATACAGTAAAAAACCGTTAAATCTTGCGTGTTTTTGTAATTGTTAAAAAAATCCGTGATTTATGCTTTATGTATTTTATATTTTAACGGGTGGGGGTTGGACATGTGGTGGAGTTCGAATCCATGCGATACCACCAAATATTCCCCGAACTTTATGCTGTGTGTGATTTACATGAGTAACAGTTAATCTATGAGTCTGAATGGTGGTGGTAGGGTGCTGCTGACTGGCTGCTTTTCTTTGGGTCAGTAAAGTACGAAATATTATCATTTTAGAAAATATACTTGTTTTTATCACAGGTTATGTTCACTTATGTTCTTATTTAGATAAAGCAACTCTTAGCATCCTGCTTCAAAATGATGTCAGGACCATAAAAAATGTAACGTAAATATCATATCATTTTTAACATTTATATCAAACATTTTATTTTCCATATCTTAAACTTTTCCATATATATTATATTTTAGCATTAATAAAAAACTGGCCCGGCATGGCCAGGTGGGTAAGGCGCTTGGCTCGCAATCTGAAGGTCGTGGGTTCGAATCCCCGTCCCACCAAACATGCTCGCCCTTTCAGCCGTGGGGGCGTTATTAATGTGACGGTCAATCCCACTATTCCTTACTAAAAGAGTAGCCCAAGAGTTGGCGGTGGGTGGGGATGGCCTTCCCTCTAGTCTTACACTGCTAAATTAGGGACGGCTAGCGCAAATAACCCTCTTGTAGCTTTGCGCGAAATTCAAAAAAAAATAAAACACTACCGAAAATTAATACGTATTTTGGGGAAAATCTAAGCTAGTTAGCATAATTTTGTTAATAGTAAGATCAGTTGCTGCTTCTTTTTTTTTAAATTATTTCAAGTTGGAATTTCATCAGTTCTGTAAAATTGGATTTCAAAAGCCTTTGCACCAGAAGAAAAAAAGCTTAGCTTTATTATCCTATTGCCAATGTTTATTGAAACATCTTCAGAAATGAATGGTATATATTCCAGAAACATTGCAAGTAACCCCTAGACAGATATT